AAAACAAAAGTGTTGTCACAACAATTACATATGTGAAGGATAAAAGCACTAGCACCAACTATTCAAAAGTTATGGCCAAGGTTTAAGTATTGCAAAAGTAGGTCAAACTCCAAGGTCAAGGTTAAAGGGTAAAATATGTTGGTATCCAAAGGAAGGTCTTGTCACAAGGATTATATATGTAAATTATGAAAGCCCTAGCACCAACCGCTCAAAAGTTATGGCCAAGGTTAAAGTTTTGCAAAAGTAGGTCAAACTCTAAGGTCTAAGGGTCAAAGTTGTTGGTATCTAATGGAAGGCGTTGTCACAAGTATTACATATGTGAAGTATGAAAGCCCTAGCACTAACCATTCAAAAGCTATGGCCAAGGTTAAGTTTTTTAATGTAGGTCAAACTCCAAGGTCAAGGTCAAAGTGTCAAAGTTTTTTTTTGTATTGAAAGGAAGGTCTTGTCACAAGGATTACACATGTGAAGTATGAAAGCCCTAGCACCAATTGTTCAAAAGTTATGACCAAGGTTAACGTTTTTTCAAAAGTAGGTTAAACTCCTATGTCAAGTTCAAAGGGTCAAAGTTTTTTTTTTGTATTAAAAGGAAGGTCTTGTCACAAGGATTACACATGTGAAATATGAAAACACTAGAACTAATATTCAAAAGTTATGGCCAAGGTTAAAGTTTTTCAAAAGTAGGTCAAACTCCTAGGTCAAGGTCAAAGTGGTTGGTATTCAAAGAAAGGTCTTGTCTCAAGGTGTACTCATGTGAAGTTTGAAAGCCCTAGCACCAATCATTCAAAAGTTATGGCCAAGGTTAAAGTTTGAAAAAATTTTGCAAAAGTGGGTCAAACTCCAAGGTCAAAAGGTCAAATTTTATGGTACCCAAAGAAAGGTCTTGTCACAAGGAATACACATGTGAAATATTAAAGCCATAGCTCCAACCAATCAAAAGTTATGGGCAAGGTTAAAGTTTTTGCGGACAAACAGACAGACAGACAGACAGACAGACGGACGGACAGGGCAAAAACTAAATGCCCCCGAATCTTCGATTACGGGGGCATAAAAATCATAATATACTTATATACTGAGTAACCTTGTCCGTTATTTATCTACCCTGCTTTTTAATTGTAGGATCGCACATTAAGTGTTGCCGATAGCCAAAATGTTTGGCATGATCGTGTTTTGTTATAAGCATTGTATCTTCATGTCAGATTATGCTTAGTTAGTAAAGTATATACAGGTTAAAAGTTTTGTGGCCCCGGAGTAAAGAACAATTTAAAACATTTTGCCATGGATTTAGGGTTATAGAATTGGAGGGATAGAAAAGTAATATAGACCAATTCTACAAATGGATTGATTTCTTAGTGCTAGAATCAGAGAGTGCGATAACTTGGTCATGAAAAAGCCATTGAATGCAATAGTGTCTTGGAGTTTTGGTAGAACTAACAATTTACAGTTGACAATTTTCGATAAAGCAATTATAACACTTTCAAAATCACTCATTCGCTCAACACTAACTAAGGGTTTATATGGTCAAGAAATTCGGAACCTAATGAGGAAATATTCGTTTCAAGGCTGATGAGAGAAGACAAGTTCGTATATAGTTTTGCAATAAAATATTTTTATTACTTGACATTAAGTCAACGTGAAATTAATTGAACATCCATGTACATATAACAGGTTAACTATGCATTTTACAATATGATCTGCGATTTCCTAAACTCTGAATGATTGACGTTATTATTTTTGGAAAAAATGTAACATTATACCGAATATACAAGCACAGTGTATAACACTGAAAACTGGTCTATAGTTATTATTCCCTCGCAACAGAGTTGAAGATGATATAGTAACACAATTGCGTGTTTGTGGGTGGGTTAGTTTGTCGTGTGCGAAACAGAAGTGGCAAAATTTGCACGATCGAATGTTGCCTTGATATAATAATTATGTATATTTTCAATTTATTCATCTATTGTCTGATCTTCTCATATTCCAATCACACAAATAAAACTGAACGAGGGGATACTAGAATCCAACATACAGTATTTTGCTTTTCCAATTGTAAATTATAACCGAGTTGTGTGCAATCGGGTTTTAGTTAAGGACCCTCTATACACCACTGCAAAAAGTTTTTTGGATATTAAGAAAATTAAACTGTATAAATGTGTAAATATTGAGCTTATCTATTGAATTTTCAATATATGGTACGCGGCATTTACTCCCAAGAAAACGTTCAAAGACAACAGAGTATCAATGAACAGAAATCACTGTTGTTTACTTCAGTAGAGGAAATACATGCAAATAAACATCTTCGCTAGCCAAGGGTTTCTGATACGCTACTCTCCTCATAAGCCCTTGACATACGGTGTTAAAAAAAGTTGGGATTTTTTTCTCAAGTTGTGATTGGAGTTGATCGACATCGTTCGACGAATCAGATATAATTGTTTTTTGTAAATGACGATATTTGCGTTCGGGATATATCTTGACTCTTTAATATCGGGAATGAAAAACGCAAGTAAACAACGATCCGTAAGATAACATGCCATTCTATGAATAGCAATATGGTGTCATCCAATATCTTAAGCTACGTGCAAAATATGTGATTAAGAATCTATACTGAAGATGTAGATTTGCATTTTAACATGTTAACAAATTAACATAACTCAATACCTTCTAGTTATTTATTCTTTAAAAACATTATGTTTTTAAATACGCTTTTTATTTCTGTCGATGACGCAATCAGTGCGAACCTGGTAAGAATCGTGATCACGTGACGAAAACAGTCCCGTCTTTTGTCAACACCATATGCCAAGGGTTTATGGGGAGAGTAGCGTATCAGAAACCTTTGGCTAGCGAAGATGGCAAATAAAGTGTTCAGTTAATTCATAATTGCCTTTTAAAATGTTCAGAATACTTGAATTGATCACAAATTGAATAAGTCACTGAAGATATCAATTTATTTGAATTCATATCTAAGGACAGTTCTCTCTGACTGCATGCAGAAAAATACCACAGAATCAGAACTCTTCAGTCTGCAATGTACATGTAGAGAGGGGTCTTCTCTATTCTCCCAAAAGAACACGCAAATATATTTGCCGACTAGCCCAAGAAGCATATCAGGGAGCCGGAAGTTTATTATAGTACATTCGACAACTATAATACACATTATATAACAATACAAATGTATACATTTAATAACACAAAAAATGCTTATAACTGATGTGAAACTTGATTGGCCAGGGTGAAAACCAGAGATAAAAAACTTAAGGTTTTTGGAAAAAAAAACCCTCTGCAAACCTTTGCCCTATAATATACAATAGACTCTAAAAATAATCCTAAACAAGTACCTAACATATAATTAAAATTATATTTTAATAAAGTTTGATGTGTCTTCTTTCGAAGACGGGCTAGAACTAATTTCTCCTGCTATTCGAACACTTCTCATAGATTCATACCACGTGACTTTAAACTCTAATTTCATTGGATAACTTATTTCCGAATCTATAAGACAATTATTTTCCGCTAATCTCCGTACCGCGGAAAATATTAATTCTTAACATCATATTTAGCTGCGTAGCTTGAATTACCTACGTACAGTGAAGTCGTAATTACAGGTTTACTTATCCACGATTGTCGGTATTTTTTAAGCATAAAAACATTTAATTCTTAACTGCGCTTGTCGTATGTATTTTATGCAATATTGTTTAAGTTGAAGCACAGAAAAATCAATAAATACACTGATCAAGAATTGATTTTTCTGTCTGTAATCAGCATTACAGAATTTTGAAAATCAAAATTTATATAATTTAACATTTTTGTTCACTGCAGCAAGACAAAAGTTGTAGTTAAACATTAAAATAGCTACAAAGTATGGCACTTGCATTCAGTTATATCTCAGAAATGTTTCATAAGGATCACTGCTCAAATAAATTTACACTAATTAATAAATCAAACTGTAGCAGCGGTCCACATACCTCATGACATGAGACATCAAAACTCAACATGCTCAATATTCAAAACGTAGTTTTTATTTACTTATTTACTTTTAGTATTCGCCAAGGAAAATATAAAAAGTAAAATTGTGTTTCCCTTGCAAAAAAATAAATAAATAAAAATAAAATAAAATTATCACCTCGCAACGAAGTTGGAGATAATATAGTAACGCTTGTGTTTGTGTGTTTTAGGGTGTGTGTGTGAGTGTGTGTGTTTTGGGGGAAGGGGGAGGGGGGTGCGTAACAAAAGTTTAGCAAGTTAAAAATTCCTATCAGGATTAATATGCTCTTTTGATACAGGATGCTCCGCTTTGCGGTGCCCTTCTTGTCATCACCCTATCAATTTTGATTGTTGAGCATAATGATTTTATACTTCAAGATGTAAAATCCGATTTTCTTACTACTCTTCATCGGTGTAGTCTATGTCTGCACGAATGCTAAAATAATTATTATTTACTTGTTTTTGTATAATACGATTATTTAGCAACATGTACTCTACTCCAGAAAATCAATGATCACCTCATCCTTATAGTCCTCAAGCAGCAACTATTGGAGTTGCAAAATCTTTTTTCGACATAAATTGGTTGGCAGACCAAAAATAATGTAGATTTTTGCAATGTATTAACAAACAGCATCGTTGAAGAATGGTTTTACTTACGGATTCTGTTTGCTATCTGTATTCTACATTTCAAAGATTAATTAATATCACAATATTTCTCTCTTAGAATTTTCTATGACAATCATTTTAGGTATGTTTCTTTCCATAGACAACACATTTATCAACTGGAATTCAATTCGGCAAATCTTTTTTTTTTATTTCATATTTCACCTTTTAGTTTGGAATATGGTGACCATTCCCTTCTCATCAGATACATTGGACTAGTTAATTATGTAATTCTGTATATGCATGTAACATGTATAGACATTAACCCCTTGAAGTGCGAAATATGATGCGAATTATAAATTTAATCCGCCCTCTTTGATAGGCGTGGCCTAACACTCTTTTATTATAAGATCCTTGATGCCAAAGACCTTCGCATACTTGTAGTTTAGATCGAACCATGCAGAGTTCAGGCTTACTCTGGATTGTATCTCTCACCTGCTTCCTAATTGCCTTAGGTGAGTATGAAATGGACTTAGTATCGAATTGAATTTCTTGCTTAGTGATACAGTTTGATTAGATTAAGTTTATAGATTGTAGGTTTATAGGTAGAATGCAACAGATTAAAAACATTTGGTTTTGAATTTACTTTTCTATGATAAATAAGTAGGAATAAGATGTGTTACCTTTTGATAAATACTTTCTTGGATAAATAAATTTTTGGAGCAGTCTGTATTAACTACTAGTAATTATCTGTAAATGACACGTAAGAATTTTCTTCTGAATCGATACTTTGTGCTATTTTAAGGAAACCCTAATTAATATTTCTCACAGAATTCTAATTTAATCATTGCCTGTACTGACTTTAGGTACACGAAGATTATTTGTCTTTTTATTGGAGGAATTGCTATGCGCCTTGAAACCGGAATCGTTTAATGATACATGTAACTACATTAAGATTTAGAAAATATAGCAATTCAAATTGTCATTGCCATTTTTGAACCTGTATAAAAAATTCAATATAGAGATTACAGTACAGTATACAATTAATTTGAAAAAGGTTATTTCATTTAGATACCAGAAAGAGATTGAGTCAAAATTATTATTCAAACATTTGTGTGTGTGTGCTCAAATCGTATATAAATTGAAAATATTTTCTTTGGAAAGATATTAAATTTCTTTGGAAATATATTAAATTTCGAATTTCTAAGGGCATTGATCCAGCTTCATTAGTACCTTCAAGTCTCAAGGTATATTATTTCTGTGCAAAGTGTTTTATACGTATTTACATTGTATTTATATATATTGATATAATTTCTTATACACGTAATTATCAATTTATTCGTGAAAATGAATAAGACATGAAATAAGTAAAAGCAATTGCCTCTTGGTGGTAATGTAAGGGATTTCATGCCAGGTTGGACAAACTCACAGCTTGCAGAATTGTTAATGCCCGATATTTCACTATAGATTATAAGGTACTATACATATATTATAAAACAAACTAGGGGAGAAGGGAAAAAGGATTTGACAGAGAAGTTTAAAGACAAAAAACGCTATAGTTTTTTCGTAATTTGTTTGTTGTTTTTTTTTAACGTGTATATTTACAAAGACTATTATTTCGCTCAGGATCCCTTGCAGAGGCATGTCCAAAGCAAGAACCCTGTCCGAGAAGATGTCCATTTAGGTACAAGAAGGACGCAAATGGATGCAGAACTTGTCAATGTAAGTATCGAGAAGATTTGCAAGGTATAAAGGTTTTCTTGCTTATGAGAAAAGATAAATGACAAATTATATTTATTGAATGGCAATTCATCGTTATAATTACCATAGTGCAGTGCAGTGCTGGTTTTTAAAAACAATAATAACAACATCGATCTAATGGCTAACATTAACGCAGATTTGAATCTATTTGTTGAAGGTCTTTATTAATTACTGGTTTATTATGCACTTCTGTATTATATGAGCTTCCATATATATTCTGCCGGATATCCAAGTAATATTAAATACAATCCTGTTTTTAGGCTGTCCTGTCTTGCGCTGTCCATTTTGCTGGAGGGGATATATTATAGGCAAGGAGGAGAACCAGTGTATGTCATGTCATTGTAAATGGGGACTTTGAAGAATTGTCCGCCATCCCATACACCAAATTATCAACGTCGTCTCACTTTCCGTGAAAATTCCGTTCATACACTTTTCAATTTGCATTGCAGGGCTTTTTAATGCCACTGATATAAATTTTGAAAGGAAACCACATGTATGTTTGATTTATATTTATTTGAATCAAGCTTAAAGAGGCTGGGGGTTGTGGCCATTTTTAGACTATATTGATCTCCTTTAGAAGAAGAGCTCCATATGAAGATATAGAAAATGATCAAATTTTAAAACTAAAATTTTTGAAATTTTTCTTTGCCAAATGATAGTTGACAGCTTAAGATATCATATCTAAAAAATTAAGTTAAATCTGGTGGTTAATTTGTGGTTAATTTGTTGACCCCCAGCCTCCTTAAGCAGATTTTTATTGTAGAAAAATAATGCATTTTGTATTATGGTTAGAGATATATGTACAAAGAATCAAAAATAAAATTCTTTGAGCATTTATGTAATTTATCAATAAAACTTTTTAATACTCAGAGTCGCTTGCTTTTTGAGGGTACAGATGAAAACATTATTTTCCGGTTATGGAATTTATGTATTTGAATTCTCCAATTTGGGGCTTTCTTGGCATTACGACCTTGAGGTAACACTTCAAAAAGTCTTTCCTTCAAGCTGGCCATTCTTGTAGTCTTAGAATAATACATACATACAATCATGAATTAAATGAGGGTGCATCTCAAAAAAAAAAAAAAAAAAAAAAAAAAAAAAAAAAAAAAAACTGAGACTCGTTTATTGTATCAATGGTCCATCTATTCCATCCAAAATATTATCCAGACAATAACTTGAAAACCCTTTAATATTTAGACTTAAAACTTGGAATATATATAGTTCTAAGAAGAGATTAAGACAAGCTGTACTGCAACAGAATTTTTGCGCCATTCATTCATTTCTTGAATCAATGTTACACGCACACCTTGAGCCCTATGTATTGATCAGGAAGACGGAAAATTCTGTGGTCAAAGGCCTAATAATTGGTATGAAACAAGTCAGTCAAAATACAACCCAATGACAGGTTATATTTGTTAACAAGGTCATTATAAAAACCATAGAATTTACAAAATGCCGAATTAAAACGAGGTTGTTGAAATCCCTGTAACATCAACTTATCTGTCAGTAGCCTACCTCGGTTAAAAAATTGATTGTACTCGGAGCATGCTCTTGAGTACCGAATAAGTTGGAAGATGCAAGCACCGTATACACATGATAGCGGGATATTACTATATAAATAAGGAAAGCTGACAATGGAAAAATTTGAAGTCATCTTGTTTATCATACAATTTAGTTGTTATTTAGACCTTATCGTCTACAGTCAGTAAAACATCCAAATATGAAACAGATGTGGAAGACTCTGCTGTCTTTTATTTCAAGTTCTAAGATGCATTGCATTAAAGTTTTGACCTTGGCCCGTTAAATGTATATTAAACTGTTTAAAATGTATGACATATCTCTTTTATCTAAGACCAAAAGTTTATAAATCATACAAATTTAAATCTTGCTATAACTAAAACACAGATGGACAATTTTAACTTGAGAACTCTTTAATATCAATAGGGCGTTTAACTTTGAATAGGATTAGATGAGATGCACCTATTTTTTTTAACCTTTACCTATTGCTTAAATCAAGGTCAAATGTAAAAAAACAACAACACATAAACCAATGGGATAAACAAAATATGCACTGCTTAATTCTTTTTTTCCTTCATCAATTTCTCTTTTAGATTGAATTCGAATTCAAAACTTTCTCCAGGCTACAACTTACTGACCCTAACTGACTCTTATATAATAAAGTCAATTTAAAAGAAAATACGTCTATGAAATATCTTGAGCCTTTTGAGATATAACCTTCAATCCTGGAACATGGAAAGATAGTATGCACTAAACATTTTTTGTTTTGCCTTGGCCTATTTCTTCAATTAAGGTCGCATTATAAATATCCAAGCCATAACTTAGAACCCTTTAACATTACGACTTAAAGGTTGAAAAATGGAACGATGAAAGCAAGAAATAATGCGCTAGACAAACGTATTTTGACCTTGAAACATTTCTTTAACCAAATATAAAAAAAAATATTTAAATTTCAAAAGTAAAAAAAAAAAAAAAAAAAAAAAAAAAAAAAAACATAACTTGAAAAACCTTTGACATCAGGACTTAAACTTGGTAAGGGACATTTAAGAAAATGTTTAGAATCTGAGGATTCTTTGACACTAGGACATCAAACTTAGAATACGGAAACAAGACCCAGAGATTAAAGAGGTTCGTTCCTGAGCTTTTGAGCCGATTTTTGTCTTGACCTCTATTTAGAAAAAATCTGCATAATGTTCTAGTTTTTACAATAAATTTGGATTCTACAATGCTAATTTAACTACATTCAATTAAAACCCATCATTAAATTCCATACCGAAAGCATTAAGCGAGTAACCAGTATACATGTATTTTGTGGCGGAAGGATTTCTAGAAGGAAATAATCATTTTTCTATTTGGAAGTATTTACAGTATTGTTAAGTTTGGATTTCTATTTTTTACATGCAGCCTGCACACAGAGTTAATTTGTACAGTGAAATATTTTATGCTGGTCCTAAATTATATATAAAATTAACTGTCATGAATTCTATCATCATATTTCACATACGTATATCAAAATAATATATTGTGAAAGTCCAGCGAAAAATATAGCCCAATTTAAGCTTAAAATTAACACTTTTTAATAATATTTGAATATTAACATCATTCACAGACCCCCACTTTTAATTTTCTTTTCTGAATATATAAGATAATTTTAACCTTTCTGCTTAAATTCAGTAAAATGTCATTACTTTCAAATGATTTTATTGCTTGTTAAATTTTTAATCCCAGAAAAATGACATTTTTTGAGTGCAGGAAGGTCAAATAATTGACTATTAAAAGTAATTTGAAAATTTTTTGTTGTAACAAATTTTAATGTGACTATTCAAGATGAAAAAAGACTTGTGTTTGGTCCCATAATTTACTTGGATAAACATGTTAGAGGAAAAATTTTGAAAAATTGCTTTATGTGTTAGATGTAATTACAGTGCAAAAATGTCATATTAAATGCTCCGTAGCGCCAAAGAAACGCATTAACCCCAATTTTTTTGTTTTGATTTTTAATTAAGCTATGTGTGTTGATATACTTGATAAAAATGATAACAGGATTCAACCTCCTTAAAATGAGATGCACTACACCAAAATGTATGACCTTGAATCATTTATTAGATCAAGATTAAATAACAAAATATCAAGGTCATAACTTTAGAACCCTTTGACATTTAGATTTAATTTGAAACTTTGAATATAGTCTAGATTAAGTTGGATTGCACAGAACCCTAATTCTTTACAATGACCCATTGCTTTTATCAAGGTCAAAAAATATAGGCCATAAATTAAGAACAATTCAAACATACAACTATAAAATATATTTTATCTCATAAATATATATTCTATCTTATTTTCTGACACAAATAGGGAATAATTCAAGATATATAGCCAAGTTTAATTTAAATACTTTCATGTGTTTTAATTATGAAATATTGGACTACAAATATTGCATTCTTTCTTTACTAATTGATGTTGCTAACTCTTTATATATTTTTGTGTTCTGTGGTTTTAAGTTTTAATTTTACTGCAGTCAGAAGTGCAACAAAACTGTTTTATAGTTATCAATGATCTTCATCTATCTTTACTAAAAATAAATTGAAAAAAAAATGTTTGATAATTTTTGATGTTCAAAACATTATGACCATCAACTAATTACAGACATTTTACAGTCAATTCAGAAAATAGTTTTCATCACTTAACACGCATTTTTCAATGCAATGTATATGTATTACACATTGCAACTAATCATGTCTTGAAGTCTTGAAAGTATGATTGATTGATGGATTGTATGTTGTTTAACGTCCATTTCTTTCTACTCATATAGTGACGTCACAAAATACCGGTGGAGGGCTTCAGATTTAGACCTTAACTCGGCACTCAGGGCCATTGCACAGTGAGTATTCCTCATCGTGCCAACGCCCACCACGACACGCGGCCTCGGTTTTGAAGGTCTCATCCGAAAGACCCGGAACTTTCACTTCAAGGTGCCGAGCGCTTGGCGAAGGAACAGTTTCTACTTATTCTTTGTCGACTTATGTCAGTCGCGGCCGTGATTCGAACACACGACCTTCCGATCACCGAGCGAGCGCTGTACCGTCTGGGCTACCGTTAAGGTTTGAAAGTATGAAAAACATGCCGTAAATGATAAAAAATATCAAAGCGACGAACTGATTTTCAATCTAAGAATGGGTTATTGTATGCCATAAATTTTTAAAACAATGTTAAATAAAATACTTATCAGATGTAAAGAGTGCAACACAATTATATAAAATAGGGTCACTTCAAAATCTATTTATTTTTTTTTTTTTTGTAAAAAAAAAAAATTGTATATCAAATTCTTTTTTAGTATAGATTTAATTATAAAGAATTGACTTAATGGACAAAAAAGTAAATTGGGGGAAATTTATTGTTTCATATTTCTTTCATATTAAACCAGATTTGAAAATATAATGTAAAATAACAATCAAAAAGCCATTTTTCCACATATACAAGAGAAGAAACTCAATCAATGTTTAGATCTTTTAGGATGTAGTGATGTTTTCTTTTTTCAAATAAAGTTTTAAGCATAAAAGTTTTGGCTTTTTTATTCAATTTTTCATTCTATTGCAGCGTCGGGAATTTTCTAGAACGCATTTACAATTTGATGATATAAGTGAAAAATATGTTATGGGTAGTTGAATTTTTTCAAGAAAAATCAATTTGGTGTCTTTTTTTTTTTTTTAAATTCATCCTTAAAATTTGTCGCGAATAGAAAAATAATTGGTTCACAGTAAATGAAAAAGCACACCAATATAGTGCAGATTCAATATTGTTCATGTCATGACCCCTGTTGGTAGGGTGGGGATAAAATTGAAGATTTAATTGCGGATAGGAAATTAAAAAAAAAAAGAGTATCAGGGTCATACTACAACATAATTTAATATTTAAATATTACCAAGTTTTATGTACTTGTATTCGAGACTGAGTTCTTTTTTTATCAGACTGTGAATCTTAGGATTGGGATGGGACTAATATGCAGATAAAATTTTACATAATGCATGTATAATATATATATATATATATATAGAGAGAGAGAGAGAGAGAAAATAACTTGTCCAACACAAGAAAGTCAAAATGAAATTGAAACATCAAAGATAAGTGTTGCACGAATTCAAGTTTGGTAAGGTCATAACTCCTAGGATCTAGGTCATAACTCCTAGGATCAAGTTCGGGGCCAAACATATGGGCTCAAACATTTTCATGGGATTATGAGGAATAAATGCTTTAAAAATGTGAAGATGAAGAACAGCAGGCCAATGTTACTCGGGTGAGCGCTGTTTCCAAAGTGCCTCTTGTTT